AGGTTTCTGTGGCCTCAGTCCCTCACCGCCCCCATCTTGGGATGCCTTCTTTGACTTCAGCCTCTGCCTAGCTGGAGCCGCTGGTTCCACCCAGTGCGGGACCTCTCCCTGAGCTGGCCCTCCTGGCCACCTGTGCTGGCCTCCCAGGGCAGTGCCGAGACGAGCTGGCAGAGGCTCTGCTGCCCTTTGTGATCCACCAGACAGCACCTCTCTGACCTGTTCAGGCCCCAGGAGTTACACAAGTCTGCTTAGGCCCAATGGGAAGGTGCAGGCATAGCCCTTGCATTCTCAGAGCTGCTTGTGGGGCTGGGTGCTGACTGGTCGGTGCTGGACCTTTGGCGGGACAGCCTTCTCAGGACCTGCTGTCTCCTGGCTCTTGTCCTGGGTGTCTGTTCCTCAGGCAGTTGGGATGGCTCAGCCAGGTTGTGTCCTCGGCCCCTTTCCCACTGGTTCTGCTGGCAGCTTGTGCTGAGGTCCTCACTTCCCTTATCCTTTGCCTTTTTGCTTTTGACTTGTCCTCGACCTCCCTCCCCCATTGGGCTGGTCAGGGAGAGGCTACTTGCACATGTTTTCAGTGCTCATTTGACTTGGACCCCCCCCTTGATTTATTTGCATTTTTTCTTTCTTTCTCTCCGTTGGGCTACCATGGTTTGTGAATTCTTTTAGTTTTTCCCCAAACTAGTCCATGGCTCTGTGGGTTCTCTTCTTGCGGCTCCTATTACTTGGCAGTCTCTGCTCCTTGCTGCCATTTCCTTCCGGCTTGTTCTGCTCATTCTTATTTGTGAGGTGGGTGCTCGGATGCTTTCCCTGCCTTTCTTTCTTGATGTGATCGTTTTAAAGTTGTACATTTCCTGATTATGGCTTCAGCTACATCCTGCATTTTTGTCATGCTGTATTTTGACTCAGTTAAACACATTTTCTAATTTAGATATGATTCTTAAAAATAGTCACAAAAATTGATGAAGTTTTACACGTATGTATAGAACACAGGCAAGGAAATATATTTATCTTAAAAAAACTTATATTACAGAAACCTACTACAGACATGCTAAATGAGGGCACTATTTTTTTATTTTGAGACAGGATCTAGCCAAGTTGAACTGATGTCCCTCCCGCCTCAGCCTCCTGAGTAGCTGGGATTATAGGTGTGACCATCACACCTGGCTAATGAGGACACTTGGGGAAAATTCCCAATAAGATCAGAAAAAGAAAAGGGTGTCTTTTGTCCCTGTTGCTTTAGAACTTTTATTTCTGTGTGTGGTAGGACAGGCAGAACATGCAATTCCCCATCCTTCAGGGTGCCCGGCTCCTGACTGAACACCTTCTGGGTTTCTGTGGCCACAGTGTGCCATGGTTACTTAGGAGTGTTCTTATGTATAAAAATGGGAGAGATTTTTTTTTAAAGTTTTTTAAAGTCAAGCTTAATTACCTTGTGGTTTAATAATACATTGTATATAATTTCAGTTTTGTAGATGTGTGAAGATTTGACTTATGTCTCTGGATGGCTAAAGTCCTGCACGTGTCCACATTGTCCTGATGAGAACACATGTGCTGCCACTGTTGGGCCTGCACACTGCACCTAGTGGGTCGGATTCATTAATTTCGGTCAAATGGTTTTAAACAGACTGTTCAGTAAGACTTCTGTGATGAGGGAGCATGTCCCTTGCTGACTAATACGTTACTGACACTTAAACTGTTACCAGTGTAACTGAGGAATGGAATCTCATTTTATTTACTTTAAACAGGTGCTGAGTAGCCCTCTGTGGTTAGCAACTAAGCACTGCACAGCACTGTTATAAATCGAGGCAGAATTTGTTTGAACGTCCATCAGTTGCCTGTATAGAGGTGTAGCTGGTGGGGAATGTTGTTTTTGTTTGTCTGAAATGTCTTTATTTTAAACTTTTTTCTTTAAAATAGGATTTTATTTTATTTCACACATGTGAGGCAAGCACTCTACCACTGAGTCACAACCCCAGCCCTTCAAATAGGATTTAAAAAACACATATGTAATTATCCTGTACCAGGCACTATTTTAAGAGTTTTTAACTATTAAAATTACAGTGATAAGTTCTTATTTTTCCATCTTTGCCTTCTGCTACAGATGATCCCCTGCTGTGTCTTCCTGTCTAGGTGCAGAGGGCAAAGACGTAGTTATTTCGTGGTCGGTAGATGGTGGTTCCAGAATCTCAGGCTCTTCCAGCTGGCCAGCCTTCTCTGCCTTCTGTGTGTGCCTGTTGTCCTTGATGCACTGGGAGTTGAGTTGAAGGCATTTGTAGGGCTTCTTCGGGGCTGAGGTCTGCAGAGCACGATTGGTCTTGTGCTGGGTATCTGTGGACAGGGTTCTCCTGGGATCATATATTTTGGCCATTTTATGTCCTTGGGGTGGGGGGTGTTGGCCAGGGCCACCCTGGCTGCTCACCAGGATGGTGGCACCTGCCTTGCTGGATCCTGGGCCTGCCCTGCTCTGCCACCCCTCATCCTTCACATGGGGACAGCCAGACCGCCTAGCATGGCCCCTGCTCTTCCCTTCACACCATCTCCCTGTGACATGTGGCACCCTTTATGGCTCTTTCCTTTCTGAAACTCCTTCTTTAGCTTCCCTTCTGGTGGTCTTTTTCAACTTTTCAGCTGTCCTTCCTTTGTCCTGCTCTTGAACTCCCTTTCTCTGCCTGCTCATTAGATAGCTGCACCCCAAGGCCTGGATCTGCCCTTCTCCTCACTTCTTGGTGACCCAGGCCACGCCAGAGCTCCCACTCACCACACTCATATCCATCGCCATTGTCTCTCCTGCGCTCAGGCTGGGGTCCAGCAGGCTGTTTCTGCTGCTAGGCACCCCTTCTCATCCTTGGGTGGTCCTCGCAGGGTGGCGTGACCACCTGCCCAGAACACCTGGCTTGGTGTACCCCACTGAGCTGGGTCACAGGGCCCAGGTGAGTCAGCATCTGTCAGCTTGGGGGCCTGCTCTGATCCCTGCTGGCTGACCACCCTGGGGCCACCCTGGGTTGCTTGCCACTTTTCCTGGCTCGCCCTCTGCTCTTAGCTGACCTAACGTGTTTGTGCTACATGCCTCATTCCTAAAGTGTAGGTAAGACCACACTATTCCTCAGCTTGAAATTCCTCAGTGATTCTCCATTTGCAGGATAAAATTAAAACTCCTGAGTTTTGCATGGGGAGTCTGTATTCCTCCGCTGCCTGCGGCCTCCTCCCTAGGTTCTCTGTGGACTTAGCATGTTGAAGTGCCTGTCATCCCTCTTCCCAGTTCCCTGGTGCCCTTTCCTGTGCTGTGTCTCCTGGCACTCCGCTCCTGTTCTCTGCCTGGCCAGCTCTAGCTTGTCTTCTATTCCAGGTCACTCTTGCTTCTGGGGGCAGGCTTCTGGGGTGAGCTGGGTCCCATGAGGAAGAAGGGGTACTCATTAGCATGTCAGGTCCCACCCACCCCGCGCCCTCCTAGATCCTGAGGTGCCCCTTCCCAGTGAGCGCATTTGGGCTGCTATCAGGTGGAGCCTGGTGTCCCACCTCCTCCCTGCACTCCACTGCGGGGCTTGAAGAGACAGGCACACCCTGGGCCCCAGGATGGGACATGCGTCACCTGCCCCTCAGGGTTTGTAAGGAGTAGGGCCAGTGGTGGCGCCAGTCAGCACATGCCGGAGTGGCAGGTGGCCCGCAGATGTTTTCATTGGACTGCTGTGCCTGGACTGCCCACACAGGGTCCACTCTGCCCCAAGAGAATAAAGAAGGAGGTCACAGTGCAGTCTGGACTGTGAGGGGATCAGGCCCCCATGGCAGGCTTACGGCTGGCACTGAGAGGCAAGTTCTGTGGCTTGCCTGGAGGGAGGAGACCACTAATGCCTGGACCCAGGATTACCTTGAGGCAGGAGGCAAACAGGCAGAGCCTTTTATTATGAAGGAGGGATTTACAAAAAATAATGGTAAAATCCTAAAAGGTAACTAGGAGAAATCAGAGCTGTTTTGAAGGTGTCTGCACTTTTTTGGGGGGGGTGGGTACCAGGGATTGAACTTAGAGACACTCAACCACTGAGCCACATACCCAGTCCTATTTTGTATTTTATTTAGAGACAGGGTCTCACTGAGTTATTTAACGCCTTTCTTTTGTTGAGGCTGGCTTTGTATTCGAGATCCTCCAGCCTCAGCCTCCCGAGCAGCTTAGTCTGGGCAGCCACATCCACCATTTCCTAGTTCTGCTGCAGAATTTAGGGCTGTGTAGACCTCAGAGCTGACCCCAGCTGTTGGGGAGCCCCTCAGAGCAGTTTACATGGTTTGCTGTTCATACTGGGAATACAGAGCTGTCACCCAGGTGAGGAGCCATGAAGACTGCTTCCTATTGGGACAGGGGCCTTCATGTTGGGGTGGCCAGCCAGTTCCTAAGAGCAGGTGAGCAGCATTTCCATGACCATGAATATTAAAAAGAAATAGCCAGTAATCCCAGCTTCTTAGGAGACAAGGCAGAGAATTTCAATTGAAGGCCAGCCTGAGCAATTTAGGACCCTGTCTCAAAATAAAACAAAGGTGGGGTGCATCTCAGTGGTAGAGTGCTAGCCTAGCATATGCAAGGTCCTGGTTCAGACCCCAGTACTACAAAAGAGATGCAATCCTGCAGCTCTAGTAATTAAAAACCAACATTCTGTGGCTGTCCAAGTTGACTGTCAGCCTCCCTGAGGCAGTGCCTTCGGGGCCTGGAGTGGGTGGAAGAGGCCCATGCCCCGGCACTCCACCTGTCAGGGCCAGGGGATGCCACACCACAGAAGGCAGGGCCCGCTTGCTCTGGAATAGGACGGTTCAGTGTGGGACATTTGTTGTTTTAAAATGGGATAAAGGTCCTATGTAGATGTCTCTGCTTTTGTGCTAGTGAAACTTGGGAGTTGAGCCCTTGGTTAAAGTGTCGCTGGCTTGAAGAAATATGATGCTGCAACCCAAACAGTAACTGCACCAGTAAGCATGGTTCAAGGTATTTTTCTCTTGTTTTGTCCCTTTTCTCAAAGCACTGCCAGTGAAAGATGTAGAAGAAAAATCCGAACAACAAACCAGAGTGAAGGAGACGGACAGGTTACCTGCTGGTGTCAAACCCCGACAGCAACCAAGTGCCTTATTTGCTAGAGGAAGTAGGAAAGCGGTCAGAAGCCCCCAAAGATCGTCCAGTAAAATAAAAGAAAACAAGCACCCATTTGCTCTTTACGGCTGGGGAGAGAGACAGACAGACACCGGAAGCCAGAAGACCCACAACGTCTGTGCCTCTGCCTCGGTGCATGAGGTGCGGGCCTGCCTTTCTGTTCTCCCCTGGAAACCACTGGGATGCACTGGGCCTGCAAGGTCCTGGGGTGGGGTGGAGGTCAGGGAAGCCCAGAATCAGGGATGGTTACCAGCAGGAGGCTCTGGATGTCGCTACTCGGGCAGTAAGGGTTTGTGCTGGGTGTTGGCTGGCACCTGAGGGGTTTATTGACACACACCAGGGGAGAGTGGGACTGGCTGTGTGGCTATAGAGCAGAGAGGAGTGCAGCAGGACTGGTCTTGCTGCTACCCTTGTGAAGGCTGTTCTCTTTGGCTTCAACAAGCTGGTGTCCAGGGCTGCTTGGTGGCCTGCTTCCCAGATGTCTTCCAGGCCCCTCTCCTTCTTGTCCAGGAGGGATGCATTTTCTCCCAGGGGCTCTGGTCCTCCAGTGAGGCCCTGTCTGAGCTCTGTCAGGACCTGAAGCATCTCATGGTGAGTCCCTTGGCAGCACTGATGCTGTGACAGCTGGAGCAGGGTGGCTCAGGAGAGGGACAGGAGCTGCCTGCTGGTGGCCATTCCACATGGCTTCCCTGAACTCTGAGCCCAGCAGATGCTGGCATTGGGAATGAAATTTGAGGCCACTGGGCTGTTTTTCCAAGGACCTCAGTCCCTGGGGCTGATTTTAACAGGCTTTGCCGTTGAAGGGTGACGCCTGGTGAAAGCCCTGGGCGTTTCCAGGTGCTGGTTTAGAAGGTGGGCCCCTCCCAGCAGGTGCAGAGCTGACCCTGCTGCTCCCCAGATCTACTCAGGGTTTAGTCTTCTGTTGCCCAGCATCGTGTCACAGGCGTCTGGTGTTCGTGTTCCTGGGGGAACTCAGGTGTGCAGAAGGCCCGTTGGCAGGCGTTCTTGACGATGAGCGCAGAGCGAACTCACTTCTGTGTTTCTCCTCCCTAGATTCACGAGTCGGCGCTACGTGCCAGGAGCAGAAGGCAGGAGGAGAAGAGGAAGCTGGCTGCTCAGCGGCAGCGTGCGCACTCGGTGGAGGTGCAGAGAGGCAGGACAGCGAGGGCCCCCTCTGCAGAGAGCCCCTGGGTGACGGAGTACATGCGCTGCTTCTCAGCAAGGGCCTAGAGCTCCCCAGGGGCCAGTCTGTCTGTGATCTGGACCTGGCCGAGACCTGGACCACGCAGGGCCTCTCGGAGAACAGCCAAAGGCTGTCCTGTTGTGAATCTCATCACCTACGTCAGCAGTAGGGCAGAAAGCTGAAGCCATAGACACTTGGTTACCTGTGAAGATGAGCCCCAGGCCCCTGGTATTCTTGTTAGAGTTGTGTCTGAGCATCTTACCTTTGAGGTACTGACACCAGATGCCTTTAAACAACTATGGGGCTTCCATCCCCCTCTGGGTGGCACAGGTGGGATGTGTCACTCACCCTAGGGGCCTCCAACTCACACTTATGAGTCCCCTGTCCTGCACGAGATTTGTGTTTACTGACACATGTGGTTTCCTTTGTGAGAGAATACCCAGCAAGTATCACTCCCTGTGACCTCAGGCCCAGTTCTCCCCAGGATCTAACGTCCATCTCTGGTGAAGCAGGGTGCTCGTGTTTGAGCTCACACCAACCTTCACATGGGTTGTGTGTTCAAGGATTGGGCTGGCGAGGCCTGGCTTCTCTGGATGGTCTCCTGGGCGCTCCCTCAGCAGTTTAATAGCCACACACATTCCAGGAGAGACAGCGCGGTCACTGTGTCTAGGTGTGATGCAGTTGTTGTGAGCCAGTTCACCTGTCTTTAACTACAGCATTTCTCTTCAGAACACATAAGGTACAGCCAGCCACAGTTACAGGCTGTGGACTCTAGCCTCTTCTGCAGCAGCTGGCAGGACATGTAGAACGTATGCCCTGGAATCACATGGAATGAACTGAGACACTCTCAGAGACACTGCCCTCCTGCCTTCTCCACTCTTCCTTCTACAGAACTTGGTCTTGGCGGTGTGTGGTGTTCCTGCTTCAGGTTGAACCGACCCTGTTTGGTTCCTGGCCAACAGATCTTACCTGTACCTTACAGGAGCTTGGGGGCCTGAGCGCATGCAGCTGTGTCTCAGCAGGGCTGGTCCTTTTGTGCATTTGCCTCTAGGGTGGAAAACGGTCTTCACACTCATTTCTCAGGTGCTGGTGGGTCTCCCTGCTGACGAGGCGTGTCCAGGAAGGATGAGGGCAGGTACTCTAGGAGAACGAGCAGGTCCTGCAGCTTAGCCCCTGCGGGTCGGGTGTGAGTGGAAAGTTGGTGTTGGTCTTGAGGCTTGGTATGCCTGGGTTTTCACTCAGGATCTCTCAAGTCTGCTGGCTCTTAGCACACAGACTGGTCTCACTTCACATAAATTCACCATCTTGTCACTGTGTTGAGCCGTGAAAGTGCCTCTTAGAGCCTCCTGAGTGCTGTGGTCCTGAGGTGAGTCCTATATGGAGAGTGTGCCTTGTCGTGGAGGAGTGTGCTTACCAAGAAGAAGTTCTACATGGTGTCTGACATCCTGGCTATGAGTTCCAGTGAACTTTGGATTAACCAGCCACACATCTTCAAACACTGTGGGAACCTGTGGGTCATAGGACCCTGGCATGTGACGGTGTGGCTCAGATGGTTTCACCCACTGGCTGAGCATCATGTTGCATCTGACTGTTGAAAAGTCAGCCGGGCATGGCACCTGGCACCTCACTCCTCCAGCCTGTGTCTCCCGGATATCTAGGAAACACTTGTCTGTGTGCTTTCTGTCTCCAGGCAGAAGGGAGCCTGGAAGGCAGATCAGCAAGTCCCCCTTCTTTATAAGTGAAGATGGATGGACAAGGTAGTTAAGGGACTTCTGATGAGCATGAACAACCAATGGCTGAGTGTAGTAGCTGTGGTCCCTCCTGTCTGAGCCCTCGATGGTCGAGATCCTCCTCTTCCCTTTTTTTTCCTCAAGGGCACAGTTACCTTTTGAGCCTATGAATTTGTAAAAGTTGTGACAATGTGACATTCCTACTTCTTTTACTGGGAACAGATGTGGTGCTGATCATGTTCCTAATTCTTAGGACATGTTGCAAGACAGGGAGATAATGTAAAGCTGCCTTCAGGTTGGAAAAGTAGAACTGGTTGAGAATCCAGTGTTATTTAAATGCTACATAAAGTCTTTTAAAATTTTGGCTTTAAGTTCGTATTAAAACAATTTGCCATAAACCAACTTGTTTTTTGTTTTTTTTTTTTTTTACTTTTATACTGAAGCTAGTCATTGAATATTGGAGCAATAACATCCAGCCCTCTGCTGGACCAACACATCCTTGGGCATCTGACTGCCCTGCCCTGATTGGAGCTGTCTGGCTCCTGGTGGTGCCCTGTTGGTGCACCTGACCCAGTTCCTGAGCACCTTTGTGTAGCTCCAGTGATGACTGGGTCATGCTCTGGGGGAGGTCAGCACATACCCACCCCAGAGACCAGTGGTCAGTACCTCCAGTGTCAAGCAAGTCCCAGGCCTGAGTTCATGGGATAGAGCTTGTGAGGCTGCAGGGAAGAATGCCAGCCTGGGCTGTCAGCTAGCGGAAGCTGTGACTGCTAAATCTGCAGTTAGGAACAGCCTTGGCAATGGTACCTTAGCTGTAACTGTGGAGTTGGAGATCGGGGCACTTAAGACACCTAAAAATGTCAGCAGTGAAGGGGAGGGTGGAGCACACTAGAGCGGTTTCCTGGTGGCTGACACTTCAGTGTGGAGTAGCAACACTGGACTGCTGCCGATGGCCTGACCACAGAGTAGTTTGGCTTTCAAAGGCTAATACCTGACCATAGAAAGTCCTCGCTCTGGAGTCTGGTCAGTGAGCATGAAAAATGGCCCTGAAAATATGACCTGGTCAAGCAGAAGTTTTGCACCGGGGGTGGGTTTTGTGTGCTAGAGTGACTAGTTACCAGGAGTGAGTATGCCCAACACCTGGCCTGCAGCCAGGGTAGTGCTGGCCCAACCTTGCCCCTTCAAGAGCCTTCTCTTGGGATGCAGGTGCTGGGTGCTCTCCTCGCATCTTTCCCCTTAGCATGGCTGGTCTGAGAGCCCTTGTGTTGGCAAGCACTGGGTTCACTTCAGACTTCTGCAGATCACAGGCAGCCCTGGACTGCGGCCCGGGCAGCGAGGACTTGTCTTTCCTAAGAAATGTGGTTTCAGCTCACATTTCATATAGCATTTATCTGAGCCTTCTTGTTTCTGAGCAGTTTTGGTTGGTGCGCTTGTGGCTGGAAGAGCAAGCACTGTGCTGGTGCCTGCATCCTCCATGGATGTCCAGCAGATGCACTGGGGTCCAGGAGAGCTGTGTGCTGAACACAGGCTCGGTCGCCCTGGTGTCTGGAAGTCAAGAAAGTGTCAGTGCCGCAGAGTGCCCACGATGTGGGGTGGGAATGGGACTCCCTGCAGAGCTCTAGACACAGCTCCGTCTTGGGGGAGCCAGGTGGCCTGTGCGAGCTCGGCCTGGGAGCCCTCTGCAGGTGCATGCACATGCTGTGACTTTGCACTAATATGTGTTATTGCTATACACACCCTGCAGTGTTTTCCACTTTTGTCTTTTAGCAAAGTCTCTGGTTCCAGATGAGATGGGCAAGCACGTTTTGTGTCACTGCACATAGCTGTGGAACACTGACCAGGTACATCTCAAGTCAGGGAGGACAGCCTGAAGAGCCACCTTCCCCTGATGTTCCACCCTGAGCTTACATAGCCTTATTCTCCTGTCCTCCTGACCTGAGCTCCTCATGGCCAAGCACAGAAGGAGCATGATGTGCAGACCCAACAGCTGCCACTCAGAGGCAGGAGATAGACATCTGCAGCTTATAGAGTGGGGACGGCCCCCTTTTTGTTTGGTTCTTCATTTTTCATGCTGAAGATCCTAGGAGACACTGTTTGGCAGCAGGAGCCTGAAGAAGTCATGGGGTTGGGGAGACCCAATATCTCTCCTCATTGGAGCTGAGGCACCACCAGCCTGAGGCTGGGTGGAATGGCTCTCTTCCCTATTGAGGGGCAACCCAGGTCCAGCAGTGGGCAGTTCTAGGCTGCAGGATCAGGAAAGGAACAAGCCAGTGCTGAGGAGAGAGGCAAGGAGAGCTGGGGAAGGACTCTGCTTTTTTTTTTTTTTTTTTTTTGTAGCACTAGGGAGGGTGGAGGTTCCAGGGTGCTCTACCAGAGCTACATCTCCAGCCCTTCAGTTTTAATTTCGATTCAGGGTCTCACTATGTCACCCAGGTTGGCCTTGAACTTGAGGTCCTGTTGCCTCAGCCTCCAGAGTCAGTGGGATTATAGGTGTGCAGCCCCTCACCCTGTTCTCAGAGTTACTTAGGAGCTCCTGGGCCGCTGGCCCACTCACCTTGTGCACAACACTCATCTGTGGAGCTGACCCTAAGCAGCAAGCCAAAGATGGCTAGGAACTGAGCCCATGGCAACCTCTTCCCAGGCCAGATCCGCCCAGGTGGGTCCACATCCTACTATCAGGCATGGGAATTGACAATAGGGAAGCAGATTGGAACTTGGGGTCTGAACTTCACCATATCAAAAACATCGAATTAAACAGGATACAAATCAGCCACCAAAGAGGGATTCTCACCACTACCACTCCCCTCCATGCCCACTGTGTGCTTCCACCAGCCTCTAGAAACCCTCTAGAGGAGCTCCTCTGTCCCTCCTTTGGCCCCCAGTGGGGGCCAGATGGCAGCTCTAAGCGCTTCTGTGGCGTCCCTTGCCTGTGGCTTGGCAGCATGTCTATGTCTGCAGTCCCCCACCTTCCCATTTCCTGGGCCTTTCCTTTTTGTAGTGTGGGGACAACCCAGGGCACCTTGTCCCTGAGCGACACCCTCCTCTGTTTTTTGAGACAGGATCTGGCTAGTTGCTGAGGCCACAGGCTGTGTCACTGCACCAAGCAGTTAGTTATTTACTTTTATGTGGCTCTCAGGATGAGCTTGTCAAATTCTGTTTCAAAATTCCATTTAGAAGTGTTATTAACCTTCACTGAATTGACAGAGAGACACTAGCCCTGCTTAGATGCCATCAGTGCAGGTAGACAAACAGCAGAGCCAAATGTGTCCTCCATCATAAAATACAGGCCTCAAAGTACAGTCCAGACCACAGAGACAAGCTGAATGAGATCCACCTCATGTCCCCGTGCTGATAAATCCAGCAGCTGTGCCTGGCTGAGGGGACAGGCTGGTCCTGGGGCCCTGCTGGGGCATGGCTGCCCAGGGCCAGGGGACAGCCCTCCAGGAACCACCAACCACATGCTGGGATGGCCCTAGGACTTCAAAAGAGAAAACCAACTGTAATGGCAAGATGAGAAAAAGACATCACCTTCTTTGTCTTCCAAGTTTCCAATGGCAAGGGACTTCTTAAGATGGAAACGAACCATTTTCCAGAGAAGTCTGGAATGCCTCCAATGTTTCCAACTAACATAGCATATGAAGCAGGTGAAGTTGGAAGGGTAAATTGGAGTCCTGTAGACAGCTATGTGACTGAGCAGCTTGCTCTGCTGCTTTATCCCCACAGGTGGATATCGAAGATCTCCATGATGAAACATGGAGGAAGACCAGTACGCCAAAAGGAGAACCAAAGCTTCCCTGACCGTCTCTTTGTGCCCTCTGGCGCCTTGGGCCCAGGTTGTCAAGTCCAGTGTTCTTGATAAAGTCCCCAGAAATTCTAAGATAGATCAGGAAAGAGTTGCCTGACAACTGGCATACAATCATTAAAAGCTCACAGGCAACTCGAGGCCCCTCTAACTGTTCCCCCTCCAAAAAAGAAAAGCCCAGAGATGCTGAACGTGAGCTCCCACCCAGCCGACCCAGCGCACCCATCATTCCTGTCTGAGTTCACCACTGACCTGCTGGGCACTGGGTTCTTCCCCTGGGGGTCTTCTAGAAGCCACAGCCATGTCTCCAGCTGTGACATCCTGCTCTCACAAGAGAGCCAGGCTGCAGAAGGACTGTGACCACCAGTGTAAGCGATGCTATAGCCTTGCTCTTGCAAGACTGGAAACTGCCAATCCAGAATCTACATGCGCTTCCTTGAAGATGTGGTGACCAGGCGTCCTCCAGGGCAGGAGCCTCAGGAAGGGCACTGGGTCTGCTCCCCAGCAGACCCCTCCTCTGCCACTGCTTTAAGGATTGCAAACAGCCCAGCGTTTGTCCTAAACCCTGTTGTGAATGCGACAGGCTCCTCCCCTCCCATGAAGAGCTGACCCTGAGGGCAGTGGATGACACCATTCCAGTGTGAGACACTGGAGCATGGTCCAGTTTGAGAATTTACTTCAGAATCATTTTTCAAAGTAAAATGTTCAAGGAATTGAGGGAAAAAACCCAAAATATCTAAAACAGATACATACTGATTTTTTAGTCAAATAACTTCCCAGAGTTTGTGTCTCTGTGCTTATTTATTGATTAAAAGAGAATAAGCACTGGGAAGCTTCTAAATTAAAGTTAAATTTCTGGTCCATAGTTAAAAAGTCCCAGTGGAAAGGCACATATGGTAAGAATGCTTCTTATTTTTGCACCAGGGACTGAACTTGGGTGCTCTACCACCGAGCCATATCCCTTGCACTTTTTATTTTTTACTGAGATGAGTTCTTGGCCTTAAACTGTGATCCTCCTGCCTCAGCCTCCTGGGTAGCAGGATCAGAGGTATGTATACCATACCCAGTGTGAAGAATGTTTTTTTAACCTCTCTGACTTAAATAATACCTATTTCAACCTTAGAGAAAGGTCTTTATCTATTTTTTGCATTGGCATTTTTAAGAATGAGGACAGTCTCGGTGACATAATAGGTGTCCCCGCCTCACACTTGCCAGGCCTTGCTGGATCAACTCCAGGCCAGCCTGGTAACCACAGCATGCATCAAGCCACCAGCAAAGATTCAGAAGGCTTTCTTAATAAGTATGACCCTTATGACATGAACTAGAGTCTGTGGGTCTCCAGAAAAGGAACACAACATGCAGGTGGGAGGGGGCATATCCATGGCCCATTGACGCGGGTGGCCAAGCAGGAGGGCAAAAGTTCAAGGTGAACTTCAGTAACTTACCAGACCCTGTCTCAATAAAAATAAGGGCTGGGGATAAGGCTCAGTGATGGAGTGCCCTGGGTTCGGTCCTCAGTATTGCTAAATAGGCAGACAAATACAATAATTAAAAGTAAATAGCTGGGCGCAGTGGAGCACACCTGTAATCCCAGTGACTTGGGTGGCTGAGGCAGGAGGATCACAATTTCAAAGCCAGTTTAGCAACTTAGCAAGGCCCTAAGCAACTCAGTGAGACCCTGTCTTAAATAAAATATAAAAAAGGGCTGGGGATGTGGCTTAGTGGTCGAGTGCCCCTGAGTTCAATCTCTGGTACCAAAATTAAAAAAAAAAAAAAAAAAGTAAACAATGAGGATGAGGCTGGGCATGTTGGTGCACATCTGTAATCCCAGCTACTTGGGAGGCTGAGGCAGGAGGATTTAAAGTTTGAGCCTGGGAAAACTGTCTCAAAATAAGAAAGGCTGGGATGTGGCTCAGTGGTGGAAGACCTCAGGCTTCAGTATAAAAGAAGTAAAAAAACAAAACACAACACAACACAAAAGATTTGAAGTAGAGGCAGGGTGCCCTGAGGCTGGACTCTAGTGGTCTTCCTGCTAGGAAGGGGCAGCAGGGAGAGCCGGTAGGTTTTGTCTGCTGGGTGGGACACAGACCCTGGCCTGGCCTCAGGGAGGAGCCCTGAAGCCCATGGAGCAGGACAGTGCCAGTTCACCAAACACCAATTTTTTATTTCATTTCGGGTCTCTGGTGAAGGGCGACTGCTCCAGCATCTCCAGTGTGGGGCATGTATGGTGGAGTGTGGTAAGTACGGGTGAATAAGTGGGACCCCGGCTGCAGGTGCCAGGGCCCTTGCATGTTGGTCACAAGTACACCAACACGAATCTCTGTGCCTGTGGTTAATGAAATACCCAACTGCATTTAGAGCACCATTCCTATCCTATCACACCCCAGGAACATGCTGGGGAGACGGACGGGGTCACACAGCACAGTGTGTGTGCTCTCGGGTGGGGAGGGGGAAAAGGAACAGGAAAGTCACATGCGCGTACACATCGGCCGGTGTCGTCCCTCACATCAGGTTTATTACGTGGCTCCTGGGCTGCCTCTGCCAGCTGGAGTAGCGTCCCCATAAGATCCACTTCTGCTCAGAGAAGAGGTGGAAAAGCTGCAGATTCTCCAAGCTTCAGCCACTGTCCCAACACCACGCAGATACCTGAAAAACAGAGCCATTGGGAACATACACACCTACAAACTCAGAAATACACCTGCTGGGTGCTGGAGGAGCTGGGCACACTTCCTCTTGACCAACATTATGTGTACTTGGCAGAGCTGACCGTGGCAGTGGCCAGAGAGGAAGCTTTGAAGTCGGTGGCAACACGCTGCTTTATGAGCAGGCCTTGGGCTGGAGCCACAGGTGCCACATGGAGATGTGAGAAACCAAGGAGCGCCCTGGCAGGCACCAGGGTGGGTGGGCTTCGGCCACTCCCGTCCCCATGTGCCCTGCCTCTGAAGGGCCTGGGAGCTCCTGAGCCTGGACTCTGGCTAACGCGGTGCCTCCTTTCCTACTGAAGCTCCGTGGCCCTCCTGCTGCAGGCGGCAGGTGGATCGGGGATCAGGGATCGGGCACACCCACCTGGTAAGGGCTCTAACAGCCACACTCCTGCACGCTCACAGCCTGTGTGCGGCGTGGGGACCGGAGCTGTCTCAGGGCGGCGTCTCCATACTGGATGCCTGAGCCCATCCTTTCTGGGTCCAGCTCACCTATGGGATAAGCACATCTCTTTAAAAAGGATTGTTATTATTCCATGATCCCCAAACAAATTATGTGAAAAAAGTGTGGAACACCATGAACATTTGCCCCCTTTCCAGGAAAGAGGAAAAACGTGTATGTTAGCACGCACATGCATTAACCACCTCTAGGACACAGAGGACTGGGAACAAAGTGGCTGCCCCGTGTCCCCATGACAGGGAACAGCAGAGGTGGTGTGGAAGGCCCCTTCTGCTTGTACTCTTGTACCACCTTAATTTGGAATTTCATGGATATATTATGTATGCAAAATAAAGTCAATTTAAAACTGAATTTTTAAGATGCCACTGTCTACTTTTAAACTGGCAAAAACCCAACTCAGATAATATAACACCCCAGGACACAGCATAGTGAAGCACCTACTGACAGGGGGTGCCACAGCCCCTGCCTAACCAGCACTTTGCACGAGACTGGAATCACACTCTTGGTGCTTTCAGACCAGTGTGCAAGAGCTCATGAATAGCAGGTACTGGCATGACCAAACCTCCAAAATAGGCTGGTACCACAGATCTCAGTGATCACGTGGATCAGTGCATCTGACACACCTGTCCCTGTGTGTGCATGATGTGCATGTGGAGCAGGGCAGCTCACATGTGTGTCTCTGTGCATGCGTGATGTTCACTTGGAGCAGTGCAGCTCACTTGTGTCCCTGTGTGTGCATGATGTGCAAGATGATGTACATGGAGAAGTGTAGCTCACATGTGTGTTCCTGTGTGTGCATGATATGTGCATGGTGATGTACATGGAGCAGTGCAGCTCACTCATGTGTCCCTGTGTGTACACAATGTGCATGGTGATGTACATGGGACAGTGCAGCTCACACCTGTGTCCCTATCCAACGTCTGCACCTCCACCTGGGCTGAGGAGATGGCTTAGGCTGGGCTTTCCACTGTCCCCATCTCATGTCTGTTCCTCCACTTGGCTGAGGAGATGACTGGGCTGGGGTCCCTTGCTCCACACTTTGGCCATGGACTAAACCTGTGCTGCCATTGCTCAGTTTTGTTTGGGTCTCCTGACACTGAAGAGAAGATCCCACCTCTGAGGTCCCCCTGCCCAAGGGGCACTGACATATTCTTGGTGACACCGTCCTACCACTAGCCCATTGGTGCTGTTACCACCATGTCTGGGCTCATCTCCCTTCCTTGCTTCCATGTCCTGGCTCGAGCTTGCCAATTGTCCTGTGCTTGGATGGTCCCTGAGTGCCATCTCTCTTCTCGTTGCCCTCCCTGGAGCCCCTGTCTGATCACCTCAGTCACCCTGATGGCACCCTGCCTGACATCCCACAGAGCTTCTCCTCCTGGGTGGATGTCAGTCTCAGAACAGCTCCAGCCCTGTTCTAGCAGCTCAAGACATGGGCAGGGTCAGGGCTCCTGTGGCACTCTGGGTGGCTGCTGTGCAGCCAGGCTGGAATCCCCGAGTTTCGAGAGGCAGCTCCTGGCCTCACAAGGATTGCAGGCCAGTCCTACCTCCTAGCTTCTCTGCCCCTGCCTCCCTCCTTCATGTCCCTGGGCTGACTGCTGCCCTATAGCTGCAGATGCCCCACTCGGCACCTACTTGGAAGCCTGCCTGGGTGACCTCAGCCTCCTTCCTACTGCCTTGGCATCATCTGGTGACAGTAAGAACCCAGTCTGACAGAGGACAGTGCTGGCACTTTGTCCCTGCCTGCATTGGGTCTGGAGTGACTACACAAGTGTCTGCTGTTCCCACAGCATCCTGTAGCCCTGACTCCATGAGAGAAGGAGTAAGCTGTTGAAGAGACCTTGGAGATGCTGCCCTGGGGTCAGGCAGGTCCACCACCCTTAGGCCTGGGGCTTGTATCTCAGCCATGGGCCCTTTGGACCCTCAGTGGGGATTTTAAGTCAGGAGGTACAGAGAATCTGCCCTGCCCAGTCACCATGCAAGAAGGGGACCCTGCAGAGCCAGCAGGAAGAGCAAGTAGCAGGACTATGCCTACCAAGGGCACTTTACCTGACTCGATCCTGTTGAGTATTTTTCGTGCACACTGCACAAACGCCTCTTCTACGTTCTCCCCAGTCAGTGCACTTGTCTCCAGGAACATCAGCTCTGAAAGTGATGTCAAACAAGACACGGTGTGTTTAGACGGTGATCACACTTGTCAATCTCTAACAGGCTGCTTAGTGTTCTCAGAATGGCAGGAAGGCCCGATTCATGACCTACAGCCATCTATTTCTGAAAAAATAAAATCAGTATATGTCAACGTGCTTTAAAAAAATGTTAACAGGATTAGTAAGACCCCGTCTCAAAAAAAAAAAAAAAGATTTGGGGGCTTCTGGGGATGTGATCAAGCTGTAGAAGTCTTGCCCAGCACGTGCAAGGCCCTTGGTCTAATCCCCAGCTCCACAGAAGACCCCCAAACACATAAACACAAAATCAAAATTGAAAAATGTTGGAGGTATCTAACGTTTTTCAAACATTAGCTATTGTCTTGGCTGGCCCTGATCCGTTGGGGAGATGGATGAACCTGTAAACAGGCTCTCTGTGCCAATGACCATCAGGAAGGAGGCAGGAACGGGCCCTACCCCCAGTGCACGGGAAGCCTCAATGTCCTTCTCCAAATAAACTGTCTCACCAGGAACAGGACTTGTAAGTATCTGCCAGCCAGGGGACTACACTGCGAGTGGCCACAATGTGCACTGTGGCTCCCATCCCCAGAGCCACCCAGGGCCCAGCGGGAGGCGTGTTCCTGCCCCTGAGGTGAAGGCCCCCTCTGCTTCCTCCAGGCACAGGATACTGAGCTGTGACCCCTGAGCAGCTCCTTCGCTATGGCTTACGTGCGTCTCTGATGTTTACTTTCTTAGCAAAAAACCCGCAGAGCTGTAGGAACACTGTTTGGGGCCTAGAGACCAATCAAACCTGACTTTAGGCTATTCTAGTTGTTGATTGGCACTCACAGTTCAAGTTACCTAAAACGTCCACATTTGCTCCATCCTGTTACCCATGAGCAGCCACCCATGCTATGTGGTGGTCTTGTATGTCCTATCTGGCAGTTCAGAGGTGTCAAAGCCATATGTACCAAGTGGCTCTGATGGTCTACAGGAAGCACAGCCACTTGGCCAGAAGCAGGTCTGAGGCTTCCTTTCCATGCACAAGGACACAATTTAGAGTGCTGACTCTGAGCCCAGGGCGGAAGAGACCTTGCAAAGTGTTACAGGTGTTTCCATCAGCTTGGTGGCTCTGGGGGTCCTAGGCTCTGGGGCAGGGTGCACTGTGTGACCACACTGACTGAACTCACACCCTAGTGGCAGTTCTGCCTTCCCAAACACAGCCTAACTTCGACCCTCCTGCAGAGCACCAGCACAGCACCCATGTCCACACCGAGAGCCACGAGGGGGAAGAGACTTGCCATTCTCTTGCGCGAACCTGGAGGCCTCTAGGAAGGTGACTTCCCGGTCAGTGTCCAGGTCCTTCTTGTTCCCGCAGAGGAGGATCACGATGCTCTGACTCGCCAGCATTCTGGCATCTGTTAACCAATTAGTAAGCGCATTGTAGGTTTCTCGGCTGCGTGACACAAGATTGTGAAAATGATACATGTATTTTATAAGACCAGCAATCTTTCCAGCCGCTCATCCTACTCCACTGCTCGGCAACATGTCAGGTAAGGGCCTTAGGGTCCCCTGGGGAACCTGAACGCACCCAAGCCACCAGGGCTCAGGAGGAGGAGCCCTGACTCTTTAGGAGCACAAAGGATACAAGAGCCTGGTGCCTGACTGCTGGGCAGCTGGGCACCTCTCCATTAACTGTCCTGCCTGTGCTGCACTCTGCTCATGGGAGTCCAGCAGATGGATTCTGCTAGAGACTGTGTGGGGACAACTGCTACCTCCTGCTCTGCCCTTAGGAGCCCTAGGTGCAAGCACCACCCCACAGTCCCTGCAGGCAGGCCGTGGCCAGGCTGTCCATTCAGGGCCCACTCAGACCCGCTTTCTCCCCTCCGACAGCTAAGGGCAGGTGCACCTGCAGCCTGATGCCCTCATGCCTCAGGCCAGAGAGGGGCAGCCACGTGACACCCCGTCCCTGGACAGGTTCCTACCCAGAAAGGACTCTTGCAGGTGGCCTCTGTACCCCGTGTCTGAGCCAGGCCTGAATCCTGGGATCAGCGTCGTGCATGGGATTTCCGCAAGGACAGGAGCACTCTATATGTTGTGCTGTCTGATGCCACAGTCACACCAGCACTTGAAATGTGGCTAGTGCAACTGAGAACTGAATTTTTAATCTTTGTCTCAATGGAATTGCCACATGTGTCCAAGGGTTACCCTGTTTGTGCTCAGTAAACCGATCCAATCCTCCGACAGCCTCGTGAGGACCATGTGGTCCCCATCACACGCACCCACAGGCAAGGAACCCAGGCAGCTAAGTCTTGGCCTGTGAGGTCACACACAGAGCAGCTGGTCCAGGACACAAGCAGCCTGAGCCAGAGCTGTGTCCCTACCTCCCTGGATCACTTTTGATAATGCTCATAGAGAGCTCCGTGGGTCTGCAGGAGAGCATCCGGCACCAGGGGCTTCATTTACAAAAGCCTCCCAATGTTTCTCAAAGACCTCCAAGACCCCACAAGGCACCTGCCCTAGGCATCTGGCCAAGGCCAGCCCCGGGGACACAGGGCACCAATGCCTGGCTCAGGGGGGCTGGCATTACCTGGTGATGTCATAGACGAGGAGCGCACCAGCCGCACCTCTGTAATAGCTCCTTGTCACAGACCTGAAAGGACAACAGCAGCTCTAACTCAACCACCAAGACCCTCCACTGCCCAGCACCACCTCCCCAGACCCCCAGGCTTGCTTTGTGAACCCCAAAAGAGACAGGCCTGGTGTCAAAGAGCACGACTCTGGAGGTGTGAACACATGTGTCATCCTCCGGGAATCATGTCATGGAATCAATGGGAGGATGTCAGGCTGGGATGGGCAGGGTGTCTTCCCCAGAGCGGCACAGCTGCGTGCATGGCAGGGTGTCTGCCCCCTCAGGGGTAGTGAAGCCTGGGCAGCAGCCTCTCCCAGTCTGGGTCCAGTTACCTCCTCTGATCTAATCTCCTGGGACTTGATTTCCCTTTTTACAGTTGGTTAAGTGGTTAAAGGACATAGCCGTGAGTGGGCACTCCTCTGGCCACAGAAGAATGATCACAAACTCCCAGGCTTGTGAGTCTCAGGGTTTCTTTCTTCTGGTATTTGCTGCTTATTTCTATAAAGTGCCTCTGAAGTGGTTTGTGCTTGGGGCTGGTGCTTCCTGCTGCAGTAGTCTCATGCTGGGCGGCAGCGCATGCCGACCACCTGGGCCTTCCTCAGGTTGGGGTCCCTGGGCTTTGTCCAGGGGAGGTGGCCTCTACCCCTCCTCACATCTTCTGGCCACCATCTTGCTCCTGCACTGACCTGCTAGTTGGGCTGTGTGAGGGTTTTAGGTTGGAAACTTTCCCCTCTGAGTTCTGAAGGCATCTCCGCCCTGCCCTGGTGCTGGGGAAGGGACCTCTGACTGCACAGCCAGCTTTCACCTTCATCTCACTGGGTCCTCAGCACCTTGGAGCTCCCAGTGCTGCTCTTGGCTCAGTGCGGCTCTGACTTCTGAGCCTTCCACCTCTCCTCTTGGCTCTGGGAAGTTCCCTTCTCAGTCTGACCTGCTCTGGACCTCCTCACCATCCCCTGCGGTGGAGTGGGCCAGCGACCTGGACTGTGGTCTCTCTGCTGCCGCTCTGGCTCTCTCCTGGACCCCTGAGCAGTCTGCCCTCGTCCTTCACTGAGGCTGGCCTGTCTCTGCCCTACCCCTGCTGCCTCACTGTCTGGGAGGCTGGCCACTCAGGGATACTTCCCGAGAGCACTCTTCACATGTGTTCAGCACTCTTTGTTCTTATTTCTGGGGACTTCCCCTTCTCTCATAAAGTCCCAGCTGATGTTCTTGGTTTGGGCTCTTTGACCATCGGTACTGTGTTCAATGGTCGTTTCTTCTGTCGGATCATTTCTGTTAGGAGCCAGGAATGGAGAGGGCTGGGGAAAACTTGCCAGCCTCACTCTGATCCCTGGAGGGTCTGGGGCTGCTGAACCAGGAAACCAGTGCCGGGCCTCGACACTCCTCGAGCCTGTCCATTTTCCTGCAGTCACTCTTTCTTGGCCTGGTACTGGCACAGCTGGCTGCCAGTAGTCATCGGGGAAACAGGGGGAGGCCAGGGCTCTCCTGCAGTGGGCCTGCCTGCCAGGCAGAGCCTCAGACCCTCACCCTAGAGGCTACACCTCTCCAGGCTCTGGAAGCTGGTGTCCCCAAGCCTGGCCTTCTCTGGGACTCCTAGGAGGGGCCCCCACAAAGAGGAACGGCCCCTCTCCTACCTGCTTGAGAAGCACTCCTGGTCATTCATGTCCTGGGAGATCTGGGGTGGAGGCTATATCAGGTGGGACCACTGTTCAGCCAGGGTATCCAGGAGTGGTGATGGCGGGGACACTGTGGTATTTCTGAATATTACTAACGCACAGTATGTACCAATCTTAATGAAAAGCTAAAGGTTTATAGTGGAGTGAGTTTTATTTCCCAAATCTCAACACTGAGTGTGTGCTCTGACCTGGTATACCTGTAGGAACCCAACCAAGCGTGGCCCAAGTCCTGCACCCAGGTTCTTGACAGCCCGCTGAGCACCCACCCTGCAGGCATCTAGCCACAACCTTGGGCCTGCATGCCTAACAGAGTGGAGCCCCAAGTAGCTTTTCAAAACCCCACCTAGGAAGGGAACAACGGGTGGATGCGCCCTGGCTCTGCAGAGATTCCCATCTAAACACAGTTCCAGCCATGACCTGCGGCAGTGAGCTGGCTGAGTTAGAGGCTCCTCGACCTCTGGGCTCTAGCTTCTTCAGGGGGAGCTTCCAGAGGCGGAGCTGGAGGCAATGCGGGGGAGGATGTGGGGCGGGAGCCTGTACATGGAGAGAACATGATCATTTCACCCAAGTTTCCGAGACTTTATTAAATCAGAGGAAAAGCTACCTGAATCGTTCTTGTCCCGCTGTGTCCCATATCTGTAACTTGACGTATTTACCACCAACATTTATTATTTTTGAGCCAAATTCCACTCCTATTGTATGATTTGAGTCATCTTTGACTGAAAAGGAGAAGCAAGAACAAAGCATTTCATTTTAGACCTTTAGGGAAAGAGGTCAACCCATCTGGGCAGCGACACTGAGGTTAGGGGCTGCCGGGAGCCAAGTCACCTCGGGCCCTATTCACCTCATGGCTTTAGGTGAAATGCACACCACCCTGTTCTCAAAGGCCCTAGAGCTTCCTCTCCAAGCCCTTTAAAGCTTGCACCTCTGAGTACAAAGGCACCCTCTCCCGACCATGGCCCGGGATGTTACTTACATTTTTTTTCAATAAACTGATGAAGTAAGCAAGATTTCCCAGTCCCCGCATTTCCTATCACCAGGAACTTAAATAAAAAATCTGCAAGACAGAGGGAGACTGTGAAAAGCATCTTGAAAGTGGAGGCCATGAGCTTATTCCTAGACTGCCATGCTCGCTGAGGTCCTGCCTTTTAACGGGACAGAGGACAGAGCAGGGGTGCTGGAAGGTGGTACATGCTGGCTGGCCTTGGCCCCGGCACCATCCATGCCTCCTGGTGCCCTCAGGACTCTGCCCATCAGTGCACTCTGAACCACTTCTTTTGAAGTCTGAAGTTGAGAACCATCCCTTTGTTGAGGATCTTTTCTCCTGCTCAGCCTGGGAATGGCACTGCACCGACCCCCTCTCCAGCTCTGCATGTCTGCACTGACCCTGGCCTGTCCTGCCTCCTGCATCCTGTCTCCTCCCCAGGTGGGGGCCAAGTACTCCCTGACCCTGGCTGCCCCTTCCCCAATTAGGCTAAGAGCTGCTGGCACTGGCCTGGCCCTGCCACCTGTGTTCAGGGACAGTGCTATTAGCAATTCACTAACAAGGCCACTGACAGGGGTAAAGGATAGCAGGCAACCCCGTCATTACTGCTGTACTCCTAGGCATCGAACCCAGGCAAACCAAGGTGGGTTTACAGACCTGGCAGGTGGACGTTTCATCCTTAAAGCCTCAACTGGGAACAGCCAGGCAGTCTGCAAGGGGCGCTAGGTTGCACTTGGACTCCCAGCCCAGGCCTGGCAGGTCCCCAGGGACTGCAGAGCCAGGAGTCACAACCATGAGCATCCATTCCTAATAGTCTTGAAATAACAAGATACAGCAACAGAGCAGGGTAGAGGCTGCCAGGGCGGGTGGGACAGGAAGGCAAGAGGAGCTGGCCTCCTGGGGGTAAGGGTCCTGCCAGCCACGAGGCTGCCATGGCCCTGAAAGGTGTTCTCTCTGGGGAAATCCCTGTGGAGGGGCCCAAGACCCTGTGAGCCTCCTTAGAAGTGTGAACCTGCAGAGGCCTTGGCATGGGAAGCACATCAGTAGACAGAGTGGGTGCCACTCTCAGGCTCCTGGCCTGAGTGGGAGCAGCAGTAGGATTTTTTGGAAGAGCGTGGCCCCAGAGGAGCGGAGGCACAGCCAGGCTGTCCTCAGTCCCCACCTGCCTTAGACACAGGCGTTTGGTCACATGGGTGAGCCTCCAATATCCACCTCTAGGGGCTGTGGCTGTAGCTCAGCCGCAGAACACTTTCCTCACACATGTGAGGCACTGGGTTTGATCCACAGCACTGCATAAAAATAAATAAAAGATATTGTGTCCATCTGTAACTAAAAAAAATAAAAAAAAAAAAGAAAAAAGAATCCACATCTAGTGAGGCATTGTGGTTAGCGCCCAGTGATCTGGACCCATGGGTCACTCTGGATAGACACGTGCTGCAGGCGGCAGGTGGCCAGCTGCCCCGGGAGCCCTGCTTTCTCTCCTGGGTGCTCAGCAGCTCAGAGAGCTCAGTAACTGAAGGGAACCCAGGTGGCACAATGGCTAGGGAGGGCTCTTACAGTCCATCCATTCTAACAGAGGCCGTGTGTTTATGAGAACTGAGGGCTCAAAACCCAAACGCAGAATCCCTCGCATGACCCACGGTCTTCAGATTTACCTGCAGAGGGCTTCCTCAGAACAGGTGGCGCTGGAAGGCAGGGAAAGACCATGCCCTGAAACACACTTGAAGCAGACGCCCTGCCATGCAAGGTGAACGTCCACACGAGAAATGCAGAACCATGGGCAAGACAGGCACAGGCAGAGGTCAGCCATCCTGGGCGGACACACAGGTCGGGCCTGAGGAGAGCACAGGCCAAGGGGTGGATGCAGGCAGAGGCACAGGTGATGTCCCTCCAAGGCCCCTCCACCACTTCCCAGGCCAGGCAGATGGGGCATGTGCATGGGAAGGCCAGACATGGTCCTGAGTCCTCAGGAAAATCAAGTTGCAGTGGACGAGATGGCTCCGCCTTCCTAGCTGCTCTCTTAGGTGAGGTCAGAGGGAGGCAAGGGGCAGAGCCCATGCACCTACTAGGCGCTTGGCCTCTGGGGCATGGGGTCAGGGCTGACAGGACACAGGACACACGCAGAGAGAGGGCAACTCACTACCCAAATAGGAGCCTGCAGCTATCCAACTGAAGCCAGGCAGGCTTGGAGGGGAAGTGTCCCCGAAGGCTCCTGTGTTAATGCAGGAGTGCTCAGAGGTGAAATGATCAGGTCTTGGTAGCTGTGACCTAATCAGTGGATTGATCCACCTCATGGATTAATAATTTGAGAGGACTACTGTACCTAGTGGTCCCTGTAGGTAGGTCTCTAGGGGTGCCTTGGGGACTATCCTTGTCCCCTGGCTCTCCTCCTCCTTCTGCTTTCTGGCCATCATGAGCTGCACATCGTCCTCTATCATGCCCTTCAGCCAGATGCTCTGCCTTACCTGGACCCAAAGTGATGGAGTCGCTGTCTATGGACTGAGACCTCTGAAGCTCTGAGCTCAAAATGAATATTTCCTCCTCTGAGTTGTTCTGGTTGGGTATTTTGATCACAGTGATGCAGAGCTGAGTGACAGCCACATAGAGTGGATGCAATGAGAATAGGACAGAAGGTGCCCAGGGAGCAGCCAGGGGAGAGGAGGTAGAAGAGAAGGTGACTGGAGGTGACCTGGAGGAACCAAGAGATGCTGACCAGCTCTCTGCACAGACACTGCAGGCACCAGCTCAGTCAGAGGTTGGGGACAGAGAGGGGTGTATGGCAGCCAACCTTGCTGAATGAGCACTGGCCCAAGGTCATCAGGAGACAGCAGTGGAAGAGCTGGCTGGGTGCATAACATGGAGGACACTTGCTTCAGAACAGAGTTTGGTATCCGCTGCAGGAAGGCTGGCTCTGGAGAGGCCGGGAGCTGTGTGGGGATCCTGGAGAGGGCACCAGAGGCAGCGGGTTCCCATGGTGCTGGGCACTGTGCCCAGGTGGCATGGTGCAGAGTGGAATCGGGGCATCTGTCGATTCCAACTTGTAGCAGAGAACCCAGAGATGCTGGGTTCTTGGGCCTGTGACTCTGCTGACCTGTTCACTGGGACCATGGGCACCAGGGATGGTGCAGAAGCAAGAGGCTCAGCAGTGAGCCCAGTTGCCCAGCATGGAAATGGCCATCTCTCATTGCTGCCTGCTGATGCAGTAATATCTTTAAATACAACCCCCTGGCTACGTGGAAAACCACCCAGAAGAGAAGGTGGAGGCCCGAGAACAGTCACCCTCAGGCAGGAGCACTGGATTTGTGGGAGGATCAGCGGCCAGCATTCTGTGAAGTGTGGGAGGAGTCTCACGATGCTTTGTGGAGTGCCCCAAGCAGAGCCACAGAGAGTGGAGAACTAAGGTCCACACTGGAGACTGTAGCTGGGCTCTTCGCAGTGTCAGGACCTGGCGAAGGTGGACACATCTTCTTCTAGGTGCCCGTCTTGTGTGCTGGCAACAACCTCTGCAGGCAGAGCTGGTGCCTGGCCAGGGTCCCACCTCTTCAAGCTGTTGGGATGACCTTCGGGTTCTCAAGTGAGCTCTGGATGCAGGTGCATACAGAGCATGTGCATTCTCACAGTGGCCAGAGCGAGCTCTGCCAATGTCACAGCATCATCATTCCAGAGGCCATTGGGTCTGTGACAGTACCCTGGTGCATGTCCAAGGCTTGCTTTACCTTGGGTCCTGCCCCCACCTCTAGACTGCCCTGAATTCAGTGATGAATTTTAGCTCAGTTTGAGATATCCAGGGACCTCTGTACCATGCACTACAGCAAGAATGGGTCAGGATCACACTCGTAGTCTCTCCTCACCTGTGGTGCAGTGGGGCTCACCTCCCCTCAGTGTGAGGGTGAGCTCCCCAGTGCAGTCCCTCAATGCAGGCTAGGTGAGGCCACCCCTCAGCTCCGGTGCATCAATGCTCCTTAAGGGAAGGCCCTGGCATGGTGGTGGAGATGGGACCTGAGAGCTGAGGCCATTCAACAGATAGGGACTGTTCGCAGGGAACCAGCTGCGTCACTAAGATGGCGTACGCCAGGAGAAAAAGGGATGGCCACTTTCCTTTTTGTTGGTTTTAGGGATTGAACTCAGGGGCACTCAACCACTGAGCCACATCCTCAGCCCTATTTTGTATTTTATTTAGAGTCAGGGTCTCTCTGAGTGGCTTAGTGCCTCATGATTGCTGAGGTTGGCTTTGAACTCTGGATTCTCAGGTCTCAGCCTCCCGAGCTGCTGGGATTACAGGTGTGCCCACCATGTTGGGCCACCCCATGTATGTTGAGTTGGGTTTTCTGCCACTTGCAGAGTAATAATCCATCATCTGCTAAGTAGAAAACCTTAATCATAATATTTTTGCCTGGGCTTAGAGTGAGAGGATTCATTCAACAAGACCTTCATGAATAGCATGAGGCTGGGGATCCCACCCAGGACCCAGGGCACAGCAAGGTGTGTCCATCCTGGGGATCCAGGCCAGGTCTGGGCTCTGATAGTCCTGCAGGGCTGGACTCTTGTGGCCTGTCTTTGATTGCCATGCCTATGGCTGACCAGCTTCCACATGGCCAGCAGGCTTTCTCTTCAGGGGCAGAGTCTGGCCCAACAGCTCTGAGTCCAGGGCAACTGTGCTTTGGGGCATTGAGCTGGTTGTAGGCTTGATTCTAAGGGGGACTGGGTCTCTTTGTTTTCAAACTCTGGGAGGTGCTCTGGCTCCAGGAGGATGCCCCAGTCCCAAGGGGTGCCCATCTCCAGCTCCAAGATGCCCCAGCCCCAAGAGGTGCCCGGTCTCTAGCAGGATGCCCCAGCCCTGAGGGGTGCCCTGTATCCAGCAGGATGCTCCAGCCCTGAGGGGTACCCTGTATCCAGCAGGATGCTCCAGCCCTGAGATGTGCCCCAACTGCAGGAGGATACCCTAACTTGGCTTCCACAAGGGACACAAGGACATCATGCCGTCAATGCAGCTCTTCTATTTATTCTGGCCTTTTGTTTCATACGCTGTAACCTCTCAGGTAGAAGCAAATGGAGCCCCTTCAGCATCCTCTGAAGGCTGGCAGTGCTCAGGACTGTTCAAATCACCAGGACAGAAGTCCCTGGAGCCTCTCCAGCTTCCTCCCAGGCTTGCAGTCTCGTCCTAAAAGACCTGCTCTGCTCACCAGCCAAGTGGACTGAGCCTCAACACAGGCCTGAGGGTCGTGCAGGCACAGGGCTCGTGCTCACTGCACCAGCACTTCCCCAAAGCCTGGAGCAGGCAGGCAAGAGAGCAGGAAGGAGTGCTGTCACTGACTGAAGGCACACAGAGCTTCCCCGTCCTTGTCTTAGGGTCCCAGTTGCTTTGCTGCCTGATTCAAAATTCACATTTGAAAAGAAAAGGATCTGCCTCCCTCTAAAGTGTATCCTCTCACTCACGGTTCACCAGCACTTCACTGACGACATCCTGTCTTCTGAACACTGCTCTTCCTTCTCAGAACATCAGAAATGCTGCGCAGCAGCAGGTTGGTCCTTCTGTCCACCACTGTCATCCTGTGCTTGGTGGCCAAAGCCCTTTCCACAGACCCACCTTCAGGCCAGGAGTGAGTTTCAGAGGAAGGAGAGCAGCAGGCATGGTGTCCCTGTGGCTCTTGTCCAGTGCTGTGTGCTGGCCTTCAGACTCGCCTCTGCTGTCCCCCCACAAGGGAGGGTGCTCGCACACCGTGCTAGCCCTTGGCCCTCACTGACCATGGACAGGGAGCAACTGCGGCTATCGAAGGTGGCCAGGCGCAGGGTGTGTAGGAGAGCTGTGTGTTCACACGGCTTGCCTCAACCACACCTGGGCTTTGTCCCCATGGAAAGCTGTTGAGAGTGGGGGCCTTCAGGAGGGGACAGGTCTTGGGATTGCCCCTCGAGGCTGGGTTGGTGCTGCTCTCTGGGATGGAGCCTCCTCACAGGACTGGGTCAAAGCTGGTGTGCAGGACTGGACTAGCCAGAGCAGGTGTTAGGAGCCAGGCCTCCCTCCTATCTGGCCTTCCCATGTGCCCAGGTGCTCTCCTTCCCACTACCAGTGCCGCGCACTGGAACATCTCAGCCTCCAGGACTCCTTAAAAAAAAAAAAACTCTGGAAAACTGCATTGTTTATGGTACTGGGGATTGGACCCAGGGGTGCTTTACCACTGAGTGAAGTCCCCCAGCTTTTCTAAGTTTTACTTTGAGAGAGGGTCTTGCTGAGTTGCTGAGGTTGGCTTAGAACTTGTGATTGTTCTGCCTCAGCCTCTTGAGTAGCTGGGATCACAGGTGTGCACCATCATGCCTGCCTGGCAAAAATAGACCTCTTCTTCTTCTTCTTTTTTTTAATTACCCATTCCTGGGGATTTGGTTATAGCCACAGAACATGGACCAAGATGAGTACCTTAGGACTGAGGAGTCAAAGGCTTTCTGCAAACTCTCACTGCAGACCTCCTGGCAGAGGGTTAGTCCATCACATCAGTCTGACTCATCTCCACAGGAAGGTTTAAGAGAAGAGATCCAGACACACGAGCCTTCTTCTCATCCAAAGAAATACTCAGAGCAGCTGGGCATATTAGCGCATGCCTGTAATCCCACCATTTGGGAGGCTGAGACAGGAGGATCACGAGTTCAAAGTCAGCCTCAGCAAAAAAAAGTGATGTGCTAAGTAACTCAGTGAGACCCTGTCTCTAAGTAAAATACAAAATAGGGCTGGGATATGGTTCAGTGGTGGAGTGCCCCTGAGTCCAATCCCCTGTACTGCCCCCTCAAAAAAAAAAAAAAAAAAAAAAAAAAAAAAAAAAAAAAAAAAAAAAAAAAAAAAATAGATAGAGTAAAGATCACCAAAGAAGAGTAATTTTTTTTTTTTTGCTTGCTGGGTGCTGGAGATGGAACCCAAGTCCACGTGTAGCCTATGTTCCACTAGCAAGCTGATGCACCCCTATAATATTCAACCTTGGATGATTCTACACCACGTGGCCCAAAGAGGAAAATGGTTCTAACAACCAAAGATGCCATCATTCGTAGTACAAGCAGGTTCACCCTCATGCCTGCAGGAAACCATTCTCCAAGGAGCTCAAAGAGCTTTGGGGATGTCTCTTATTCCAAGCACAATGATCTCCCTGTGATGCCATGGCTCAAGAAGAGCCCCAAATAAATTTTATCAAGCCCATTCCTAGTCCACCTGACCAGAAACCCCCAGCCCCGGGGAGCTCCTGTGACCCGTGAGTAGGGCCAGCAGAGGTGCTGGAGAGTGGGCCTGAGGAAGTGGGCGGCAGCTCAGGGCAGTCCCTACACTTGCCCACGGCGCTGCCAGGAGAACTCCAGGAAGCCTTGTTTTCTCCATTTCCAGTTGAATAAACTGCTCTGAATTAACTTTCCATTGCAGTTTCAGGGGCAGGGGTGACTTGAGTTATAGTAAAGCGCATCCAGGAAGACTCAGCAGTCAGCTGGTTTTCAGTGAAGGAGAAAAGCAAAAGCACTTTCCAATCATGAATTTATTCAACCTGAAGAAATGCCCTTGTTTTTCCTGCTTCCTTTGTTGACACACTTATGTGTCCTGACATCTATGCAGCTAAGACAGTGGTGATCCAGGTGACACCTAGTGCAGGTTACCTGGCACCTTCTTGGAGCCAGACGGCTCTGAACCTGCCACTTCTCTTTCTTGGGGTGCCCTCCTCACTCCATCTTGTCTTATCAAGTCTGGGCTTTGCCAAGAGCAGGGTTTGATGGCCAAAGCCAATGGGTTTGCTTCCCAGGCTGGTCAAAACAAGCTGCCCATCAGGTGGCTTCGAACCATAGGAGGTGCTGTCTTATAGTTCTGGGGGCAGGGAGTCTCACATCGAGGCAGGGCAGTTGAGCTCCCTCTGAGGGTGCCAGGGAAGGGCTTTCCTTGCCTCTTCTACATCTGGCTGCTGGCCGACATTGGCTCCTTGGCTTGTGGCCGTCACTCAATCTCAGCCTCTACCAGCACGTCACGTCCTTTTTGTGTGAGTCTGCATCCTTACCTCATAAGGACAGCAGTCCCTGCATTAGTCCACCCTACTCCGTATGACCTCATCTTAACTCTGTCTGCAAATATCCTGTGTTTTTCTCTTTCTCCTTGCTGTGACCAAAGACCTGACAACAGCAAACAGGAGGAAAAGTTTATCTGGCTCACGTTAATAGACTCACTCGTGTAAATTGCTGGCTCCTTGTTCTGAGGCAGAATCTCATGGTGGAAGGGTGTGGAAGAGGAAGGCAGCTCAGGACATGGCCATCAAGAAGCAGAGAGCTCTGCTCATCAGACAAAATATAAACCCCAAAGGCATAGGCCCAAGGATGGCCTCTTCCAGCCACACCCTACCTGTCCACAGTTACTACCCAGTTAATCCACTCCAGTGGATTAATGCACTGATCAGGTTAAGACTCTTAAAACCCAATCACTTCCCCTCTTAGCTTTCTTGCATTGTCCCACACCTGAGCTTTTGGGGGACACTTCATGCCTACATCCTAACAGCCTGCTTCCAAATAAGGTCACACTCACAGAATCTGGGGTTCAGGACCTAGACATGACTTTGGGACATGATCCAACCCGCAACGTCCCACAAAGACACAGATTTGACAGCAAATGTCCAGTGATTCTCTTGATCACTCGGTAAATACACGATGTTGTTTTCAGAGGGAAGCACAAAATGAAAACTCTAAGAAAATAATATGATAAAAACGAGCCCAGGACCAGCAACTCACATGGTCCTCTCTCACAAACAGCCCTCCTACAGGGCACATCTGCTCACGGGCAGTCTGTTAGCGTTCTCTATTCCTGAGTTTCCATCACACTGTCTGGCACCTCCGCCACATGTCCTGAACAACATGTTTAGCTCCGTCCTGAACATCACTGCTGGTTTCAGGAATTCCTCGGAGACAGGGTGCAAGCCCCAGGCCTCAGGTTGCTGGGGCACAGGTCCTTGGGGCGGCCCAGAAACACTCCACAGGGCCTTCAGAGTGTGGACTTTATATCTGAGAGAACCTTGTTTCAGGTTAGTGGTACTTGGACTGAGTATCTCTATTCCCCTCTGTTTGACACTTTGATTCTGTGTCATGATATTACATAACCTAGAGCACTGTCCACATGGCTAGGGGCCTCTGAGCTAGCACATGTGGGCGCCACCATCCCTGGCAGGTGCAGTAATAGCCTGAACATGCTAATGAAGAAGTGGTGGAACTGGCCCCTTGGCAGCATATCCCAAGTGGCTCTCCCCACTTAGTCACAGACCATCGAGCTTCCAGAGCCCCCTTACACAGGAGAGGATGGGCCCAGAGTACAAGGAACTCAAAGGCCAGGCAGACATTCCTTCAGCAAGAGGCAAGCGTTTGAGAGGAAGGGACATGAGGCTTTACTTCAGGGAACAGTGTCATGCAGACACAGCCATATCTGAAGGGCCAGGCGAGGCCTTGGTTCAGGGTGACCTTAGGTTGGCAACTTCAACCACCATGCCAGCTTTCTTTTAGTTTCCTTTAATTCCTCCACTGGAGAGATGATTAAATCCAGGGGGAGTGACAAGTAACACCCATTTGGAGGGGCCATGGAATCACCCTAATGGCCTTGCCTCTCGCTGAGCCCACTGGCCCCTTGGTCCTGCCATGCCCAGCATGCCCAGCATGCCCAGCACACTGTCAGGGCTGCAGCACTTCCTGTGAGAAGATCTTTCCCCACTGATTCATGACAACCTCCCCCCCCCCCAAGCCCTCTTCCTGGGAGACCCGCCCCTCCCAGCGCTCCTGACCAGGAAGCTGGGTGTGGCTAGGGAGCAAGAAGCTCAGAGGAGCACAGGTGAGATGGCATGCGAAAGTTCTCTGCGTGGACAGGTCTGACTGGCTCTCTGCAGAACCACACGGCAGGAGCCACCTGGGGAGTACCCACCGCTGACAACACAGTCCTAAAGAAGCCAGTGGCTGCAGGATTCTCTCAGCTTCTAGGGACAGATGTCAGGCCCCATTCACAGGAGCAGGGCAGTGCCAGTTGCTGGCAGAGGACCAGGTGCCCTGTGAGCCCTAGTGTGACACCCTTCCAGCTTCCCACCCTCTCAAAGTCCAAGCCCTCCTTAGGCCCTCTGCCCCTCACCCTCCCAAACTATGGTGCTCAGATATATGCAGGTCTGGGCTGAGGTCCTGTGCTGCCTGGGCTCTGGAAGTAGACACTTCCCTGGCCCTGACCCTCTGGGTCAGTGCTCTTTGCCATATAATTGCACGGATTACATTCTTCAGAACTCTTGCCTGGCTTTAAGTTATGTATCCGTCAGTGTCCAGCTGGACATCTACACTCTTCCCCACTACACTGCACACTGTGAGACCTAGCAGGTGTCTGTGGTGTTTGTTTCTGCAGTGTCCAGAGCCCTGACAACATGGTCCTGAGGAAGTCTGCAGCTGCAGGATTCTCTAAGCTCGATCCCTCCTCCACACACCTCTGTGGAGGGCAGGAGACATCTGCCAGGGTGGGAGCAAACACACCAGGCCTAAGGTCCATATTTGCACACCCAGAGCCTCTGGGTGACTATCAGCTGTCACATCTGAAAGAGTGATCAGGGGTTGGCAGACTGGTCTCCACTCTGACACAAGGTTCAAGTCCTTTATTGAACCTAGTGGGTGGGAGCAACTTAGTATATAAATTGAAAAAGCTTTAATTTATCAAAAAAGAAAAAAAATTGCTTAGCACATTTGCTTAGGGGAAACAAAGATTAAACAGACTGGGCTCTGCTTCCAAAGTACTCATGGTCATCAAAAGGAGACGTGTTATAAATAACTAGAGAGCAACCAAGAAAGGGCTGAGAGAGGGAGATGGATGAAGCCAGAGGTCACAGGAGAAAGATGGGTTAATCACTGCTCCCTCACTATAATCCTGCTGCAAAGAAGCAAAGGAGAGAACTCCCAACCAGGAACAGGGATCTGCCCGGTCAGAGGACACCCAGAAACAGGTGCGGCCCCGAGCCTGCGGCCCTCACTGAGCACCAGCGGTGGAAATCAAATCTGGTTCCCACACCCTGCGCTGAATTAAATTCTGTAAGGAAAACCTAAGGGTGGCAGAGGGGCGCACGCAGGAAACCCGAGCCAGCTATCATCAGCCATAGGCACTCCCAGACCGAGCAGGGCACCCTGACACCGGCTGGCTCTGCTACCCACAGATCCTGGCATCACAAGATCCGGACCTGGCCCAGCCTCCTGCCTGTTCCGTGGCCACCGTTCAAGAACCCAGACCCGCCTGGCTGGACACCCCCGGACACCCCGCGAGCCTGCTCTCCCGCCCCGCGGAAGGCCCTACCATAGGTCTCGGACATGGCGGTCTGCGACATCCTGGCCTCTCTCGCAGCTCAGCCGGGGTCTGTCCCGGTTCAGAGAGAAAACGAGGCGGGGACCGAGCAGCGGGGCCGGGCGGGTGCCTACAGCTAGCGCCGGCCACCGCGCTGCGGCCCAGCCGGTCGGCTCCGCGCATGCGCACGGCTGCCCCGCGGAGGAACCAGGGAGCTGGGCGGAGGATGGAGGGTGTGCTGCGCGGTTGGGGCGGCGGCCCGAGCACGTGCGCACCCAGCTGGTGTCTGCGGCAAGGCCTGCTGCAGAGCCTGAGGTCGGCTGGGGGGACTCGCGCGGAGGCCGTGAGGTCCAGAAGAGGAGCATGGGCACCTGAACTGGGCGGTCCTTGTGCAGATGGCGCGGCAGCACAGGATGTGGTCAGCCTCTCCCTTAAGTGGTAGTTGGACACTGCGGAAGCAGGATTACCCGCGGGAAGCCGAGCTCTTGGCCGGAACGTGCAGGCCTCTGGGCACCATGACGTGCAGGCCAAGAATTCCCAAAAGAACCGACCCTGAGTACCTGTCTGGGGAACGGCGTTCAGGGGAGGCACCACTTGGCCCTCAGGTGCAGGTGCGATTCAAGGTTAGGACTCCAGGAAAAACAACAACAGCAATGAAGCCAGATTTAAAGTTAGGTAGTTAGTGTAGTTAGGTAAATCGGGTCTAATACCGAGTGAAATCTAAAATGGAGGCCATGTGGGAATGACTCAGGGAAAACACAGGACAACTCATGGAATGTTAATGAAGTTCCGAAAAGGCCCTAGGCCAAAGTCCACCTGGAAGTATTAATGAACAGCCCCCAACAGATTTGAAGACAGCCCATCCCAAAGAAATGTTAATGAGCCCATCACAAAGAAGTGATAATGAAGTCCTTCCTGCTCAGACTACTTCTTTGGCCCTCCTGTGTCCCACCCCTGGGGCCTTCCAACCTACATTCCACCACTGAAAGAACTATAAAAAGGGGAAACAACCGCACTTCCACGGATTCCACCTCTTGGGTCCCCTTCTTCCTCCGGGAGAAGTCTTTTCTTCTGTCCTTTAATAAATTTCTAATTTCTACTCTGACCTTGCCTCCGTGTGCTTCTTTGGTGTTATTCTTCAACATCGGGGAGCAAGAACTCGTCACCGGTCAACAGCGGTAACAGCAACACACACGGGCGCGCGCGCGCGCACACACACACACACACACACACACACACACACACACCCCAGTTCAGAATTTCCGTTCTGTGGAAACGTGGAGAGACCCGGCCTAGTCCACGGCGGCTGTCTTGGTAAGGGCAGCACACATCTGCCTCCTCGGTTTGGCTCTGTCCTCCTGGGAAACTGAACACAGACCTTCTGTCTCCCCAGCATTGTAGGGCTCTACATTTCGCCTTGCTTCCAAATCCCGGAGGGGCAAGCCTTTTGATCTGGAGTATTCTGTGTATGCTTCTTCTCTGTGGCCCAGACACTCTGCTGTTTTCTGCTGGGCTTCATTTAGGCTCCTAAGCAGAACAGTCTGCTTCTGATTAAGGCTTTTCAGAGGACAGTCATCCCTGGAGGAGGGAAGAAGCCAGTGCCCCTGAGGACTGTTCCCTTCCTTAGGTATGAATTTCCTCCCTGCCAGAGACTGCCTGGGTCAGGAAGAAGTCACTGAGTCAGTGATAGTTCTTGATGATGTCAGAAACTGGACCCAGAGGCCAGGGAAACCTATGCATATAGTAGCAGTGACAATTATACTATAATTCCAAAGCTGCCAGCAGTGTTCTGGACTGTGGGGATGGCCTTCAAAGGCCTTTGGAAAGACTGGGGAACACCCTCCTCCAGGGAAAACCTTGTGTTCACAGGGTAAAGTCAGATCAGAACTGGAAAAGGAGAGGGTGGCAGCTGGGATCTGAGGGAGCCTCCCCTCCACCCCCCCCCCAAGCCCTGTGAAGGTCTTTATGGCTGGGTGATGGGCTGGGAGGAAGTGATTCTCCTAGGTATTGCTGGAGATTCCCAGCTGCTGTTGATGCTGTGAAAGGAACGGTCAAGGTAGCGTGTGTCTTTCTCTAGCGATGCCTCCTTTTTCTTCAGAGGTTTGTAGCAGAGTTAACGTGTATGTCCCAAGGCCTCGGCACACCTGATGAAGGGAAGGTGGAGGAAGGGTCCCTTCTGAGCAGACTGGTCCCTGGTTCTCCCCAGACCTGGTCTGTCACCTCTGCCACATTCTAATTAGAGTGACTATGTCCCATCACACCAAGCCAGCAGGAGAGGAAGGTTCAACTCTTGGAGGGCGGTATCCTGAAGGTTTGAGGATCTCTGGGAATGTCCTCTCTCTGGGTAGGGCTTTGCTTGTCTAACACTGGAGGGAATCTCAAGCTCCTGGAGGGTCTGTCCTGGGATCCTGATGCCCTTCCACCTAACTCAGGGTCTGTGGCCATACTCTTGGTGTGCAGATTTGATCAATTCACACTGAAGCCAGAGGATCCTCAGCTCCTGGGTCCAGCATCACATTCAAACAGGGACAAAGGAACCACTCCAGAGACTATGATGACCCACATGGTTCTGCAGGAAAACCTGAAGCCAGAGCAGAGGAAGGGGCCAGACCGCCTACTCCAAGGCCAATCCTAGTCCCTGCCTGTCCCTGTCTGTCTCTCTCTTTGTCCTCTGCCCCTGCCCCTCTCTATCTCTCTATGTGTCTCTCTTTCTATGCCTCTCTCTCTGTCTTTTCCTGTGCCTGTCTGTCCCTCTCCTTCTCTCTGGGCATTTGCAGCTATGCTACATTGTCCCCTCCTCTTTTGATTCTGAGCTTTTTCTCTTTCCCTTTCTAACTTCCCACCCCAGAGGTTATTAGAGAATCAGATGAACAGTTACTTGTTCTATTGAGACAAACAAAAGAAACAAAGCTTCTTTGTTTTGCAGATAGACTTCAGCTTAAACAAAATGTGCACCAGACTCCATAATAGAAACATTTTCTTAAATGTAACTAACCTTCCTGATCCTGAAACCAATACTTTGTTGCAGAGAATCTGGATTTTTAATAGAGAGCACAAAGGAGAAAATCAAGACTGTGTTATTCCATGCCCAGGGATAACAGGTGGACACTGGGGTATGTCTTCTTCATCTTTGCACACACATGTGCACACACATTCCCTCTTGGTTTTTGTGTGTGCATTATTTAATAGTCTACTTATTTCATGTTAGCTTTCTGTGGTCAACATTCACCAGGCTAGCATTTTTTCTGTGGTTTATTTTTAATGATTGTGTATTTAAAATTTTTTACTACATGAATATCTCAATTTATTTAATCTATTATTATTGGTCATTTAGGATCCATGAAAGGCTTTGCCACTAACAGAAGCATGGTGCTGGACATTCTTGATCCACACCCGTGCTGTCCTTGGCATGCACTCCTGGATTGAGGGAGTCCATGCTGACCTTCAGAAAGATTGTGCTCATTTCCAGCTTTCTGAGCAACGAAGGTACTGCTTCTCCACACAGGTAGCCATGGCCAACATCATTTTTTCCTGCTGTCAATGTTTAATTATATTCTGTTGGGATCAGAAAGCGTGTCCTGTATGAGGTAAATGTGTTCTAAGGCCAGTGTGGTGTGCCTTGGGAACAGCACGGCTCTGCCGAGGTCGGCGTGTCCTGGCTCAGCCTCTTGAAACCCTCGTGTTCTTTCTGCTTTCTGCACTCATCTGTTAATCACCAAAGAAGAGAGGCTGGCTTTCAGCTTGTGTCCCTTCCTACCAGCTTCTCTGTTCTATGATTAGGGCCATATAGGTTCTGGTCCTGGCTGGGTGTGTGGATCGCAGTCCTAACCCCTGATTCTGGTCCTGATTGGGCCTGTGGGTCCTAGTGTATCTCTGTCCTTCCTGTGTCAAGGACAGACTCACATAGGAAGTGGTAAGTCACTGACTTAAGATATTAACGCTATCTCCACCTAGAACAGCCGGAGAACTCCACCTCTCCCTCCACATGCAGGACAGGCACAGAGAGAGGCCTGGTGCATACAACTTGCTATCTGGTGGGTCTGGCAGCCCTGTGCTCCCCTCCAACTTCGGGAGAAGACACCAAGCTTTCTTTCCCTGGCCCATTGCTTTATAGAGTCTTGCTCCAGTTTTGGGCCACCTGTTTCCATTTCCTTAATAATCCCTGTTGCTGCTGCTTTTTGTGTCCTTGGCCATAGCTGCTATGGGAGATGGCTGACCCTGGAGTTCCTGAACAGTCAGGTCTCTGGTGTGATCATTTTTAATTTTTCTCAGAGGCTGTAGACTTCAAAGGCTTGGTTTCATGTGCAAAGATGAGGTAGAAATCATGGACACTCAGATGCCGGGCAGCTAGGAACTCGCTCTGACCTTGCAGGTTTTAAGTGGTGGAGTTGTTTGAAGAGCTTTGGTCTCGAGGCGCCCAGTTCTTACTCTCTTCCTGGCAGCAGGTGTGTGCTGAGAAGCCCAGCACAAGTCCAGGTCGAGGGTCCTATTGCCTATGGTCTTTCTCTAGTCCTGTGATTTTTTTCCACTGGGAAGTTTCTAAGCTGGTGAAAATCTGAGACTCTTCTGACTGGGCAGAGGGCCAAGAGCAGCAGGAACTGGGAGTGTGTTCAGGGCAGCTGGGGGTCAGGCTGCGGGGTGAGGACAAGAGCAACACCGAGGGCCTGCAGAGTGTCCTGGGGCAGGACAGCCACCATGATTGACAGTTCTTAAATTATGAATTATCAGTGGGACCCCAGCAAGCTCCTCTCAAGGTTTTCGAGGCCTTCCTTCCTGCTCTGCTGCCAGGTGGGGAGGAGGGATCCTGGAGTGGTGTTTCTCCAGGTGGCCTGCCTAGCAGGTTCAGCACTGGGACTTTCTGCAGCTTCAGGCTTCCTCCTGCAGAGCTGCACAGTTGACATTGGCGGTGGTGGTGAAGAGAGAGCTTTTAACAAACTGAATTCTGTGGAGTGAGGTAAAAACAATGGAACTCAGTCTGCACAGGAACAGGAACTGCTTGTTCCTGCTGCTACCCTTTGTGCTTTGTTGGTCCAGTGTCCCAGGTAGGTTGTGCTCCAGCCCAGTCAAAGCTGAACTCTGCTATTGCCTGATGCTGGGCACCCAGGGTTGGTCACCTTGAGGCTGAACACCCTGAGGCTGGTCACCCTGAGGCTGGGAACCCTGAGGCTGGTCACCTTGAGGCTGGTCACCCTGAGGCTGGGCACCTTGAGGCTAAATACCCTGAGGCTGGTCACCCTGAGGCTGGGCACCCTGAGGCTGAATACCCTGAGGCTGGTCACCCTGAGGCTGGGCACCCTGAGGCTGGGCACCCTGAAATTGGGCATCCAGAGGCTGGGAACCCTGAGGCTGAACACCCTGAAGTTGGGCACCCTGAGGCTGG